ACCATGGTCATTTGGTCACGAGTCATTTCCAAATGACCCAAAATTGAGATGACCGATAATGACCGGTCATTTCGAGGACATTTGAGGCAGGGTTGGCAAATGACAATGTCATTTAAAATTTTCGTGACAAGTGACAAATGACATAGGTCATTTGTTATTTTTGTCATTTAAAAGTAATATAGTAAGACTCCGGGTGTTTTAGGTTTTAACCAATCCTAAAATACCCAAAGGACACAAAACCTTAATGATCTCAGGATCTTGGCATTTTTAAATATAACCTATTTTCGTCATTTACCTTCTAAATGACAAAGTGACAAATGACAATATCACAATGTCATTTATGTCATTTAAAAGTCATTTGCCAACCCTGATTTGAGGTCATTTGAAATATTTGCAAATGACCAGGTCATTTACCATCACTGATTGTAATGAGCGAATAAAAATCAACTGTAAATTTTGATTATATACCTAATCTCTTTTACATATCCCAAGATCTTATTAAAATTTGATTTCCTACCATTAAGATCACGCCAAGCAGCACCCATACAAAATCTGCCGATATATAATCGTTGATAAGTTATATTATCACATAGATATATGATTAAATATTATTAAATTTACCTAGTACTGCCAGCTTTTTTTGCATTCCTAGCCGCAACAAGAACATCATCAGAATCTAACAACTTTGTTGCCTTGACGGGTGTCTTGTATTTAGAGGATTGGGGGCAGTAAGCACAATCTTCAGAACATCCCCCGGTTTTGATACTTAAGAGCGTACATTGTTGAACGGCAAGTGGATCATGATGTTTACGGTGTATTTTTGCCTGGAGACAAAATTAATTAATATAATTCATAGCACTGAATTCAGGTTGAATCAATGAATAACGGGTACATATCGGGAGGCAAATCTCCCGATATATACCCATTATTCTACCATAGATCATAGTACTTATCACCCGGCTTTATTTGTTATCACCCCATGGAAATAACAAATAAGAAAAAAAAAGAAAAACTTTATGATAAAAATTATGATTAATTACACGTAAATCCCCGTCATGCGATTATAATGAATAACTGTAGTATCGGTAGCATATTGGTAGCATACAGGTTAGATATTGGGAGGTAGATCGATAATGGTAACATAACAGTAACGTACTGGTATCATACTCTTAGCACTATTTGGACTAAGAGTAAGATACCGGGATGTCCCGGTATGTTACTGTTATGTTACCATTATCGATCTACCTCCCGATATCTAACCTACATGCTACCAATATGCTACCGATATGCTACAGTTATTTGGCGGATCTATGGTAGAATAATGGGTGCATATCGGGAGATTTGTCTCCCGATATATACCTGTGGAATTCAAAAATTTGACATCATCGAAAAGCAAAACTATCGATAAAAGATAATCCTCAGTTATACTTATTTTATAAATTATGTACTTACACCATAATATAAAAGACTCATTATGGGTGACTCATAAATAGATTTTATTTCTTGTTTCGTCCAGTCGTTTCTCACATGACCATCTGTATATAATGATATATCAGCAACTGAAAGCGGCTTTGTTGTATCATGGCTTACTGAGGCCATCCTATTAACTGGTGTCACTGAATATGGTCTAATGAAAGTAAATAAGCCATTCTTATTACTCGAGTTAAAAAAACGTATAATCCTCATAATTAAAATTTAGATTTTTTTTTTCTTGACTGGAGAAAGAGATAAAAAAGTCAAGTGAATTTTATTGTATGTATGTATATATATATTGTGTTTATCAAAGTAAAAAATCAAAATTTTAAAAATTTTTGAGTGCCGGAATGTGGTACATTTTATAGATCTGAATTTCATATCATGCATTAAATATTAGTACTCCCAAGATTTACAATCTACCCGAGATGATCGTCAATATGTTTGATAAAATATAATAAATGGATCGATAACCACTATTGATCTTGCAATAGTAAGAAAAGAAAGAGGAAAGATAAGATGATTCGCAAAATTAATATCATTATAATATGCTCGAACCAATAATTTTATACTACTGTACCTACCAAAAAAAATTACAATTTGCTTCAACCTAAAGCAAATTCGTATTAGAGCTACATATTTCCCAGATCATCAATGCTAAAATACAATAACTATGAAATATAGTATCTATATATGGTTATTTTTTCTAGTATATATAAGAATTTTAAAAAGACTCCTCCGATCTGTTTTTATTCCTTACGGATAAATTTTCCTGGAAATATGTTTTTTCTGGATAATCTCATTTAAAATCTGCCAATATCACGTTAATTCATTGGATGTCATGTGAATATCCAATTTCTAAAACATTCGCTTAAAGTCATTGATTTTAAGATGCATAAAATCTATATTAAAAAGGTTTAAACATGAATAATTTAAATCATCTAACCTAATAATTTGATGATAACTTATTCTAAAGTTTGGAAATTTTAATATTTATGTCGTGCCTCAAACTAACGCTTGCGTGAGATTGCAGTTGGCCTAAATTAGGGTGAAAATTACGGTAAAGTTTAGGCCAAGCGTTAGTCTAATGCACAACACAAAAAATTTAGTCAATGTTAATATGAGTTTAGTGCTGAAGAAAGGAATGAAATTGGCATAAAAAAATTCCGATTCGTCTCATCAAGACGAATCAAATGGTACCAAAATCATGTAATTCCGATCAATAGTTCGCGAGATAATTTTTTGTGAAGAATTTTTTTATGTCAATTTCGTTCCTTTCCCAGCACCAAGCCCATATAGTGACCATTAGGTAGAATTTGAATTTTATACGTTGACTTTCAGTATATTTTTATAATTGTGGCGGATATGTTATGGTTACTGGTATCTGCGTCAGGCTAGATCACAATAAAATGTCTTATTTTTTATTCTATAAACATATAGAATTAAGTTAAACATTCCGGTTGAATATAATTATGTATTGTAATATTACTAGGCAAAGAGATTCTGAATAGTGTAATAAAAAACAATCCTTCATTCGAAAGTTTGCACGCGTGTGATGACCAATAAAACTGGTCAATTTGGTATTATATTTGAGAATTGTGAATGTGTGCCAGGTTGATGGCGCATTACCCAGCCACAATGATCTTTTTTGTTGCATTAACCGTCCTGTTCTTCTATTTTTCTTTTGTAAATTTAAGACATAACAGAAATAATATAATTTCTAAAATTTTTAGTTCATTCATTATAAAAAGGTATCATTATAAAGAGAGTTGACCGTACTTAATAAGAGTGAAACGTCTTAACATTGATGATCACTACTATTATTCTTTTTTAAAGATACGATTATGAAAAAGTTTTTTTTTTCATTTAAAGAAATTTTTTTTCTTATAAACTATATCAGATATAGTACGTGTTTATTTATTATCATATTTATTAAAGCCAAATTTTCTTTATACGCATATTAAATTAAGAATTTTGACGTTCTGATCTTAATAATTCTGAAAATCACATTATACAGTATAGGTAAGTAAGAATATGAGTACTTTTTGAATTCAAAACAATAATATTAGAAGCTAGAGATTATGAAAAAAATGAAGGGAAACGTGTTTTTTTGAAAATAACAAGACCATGATTCGAGTAGAAATAACGTTAAAAAATGGTGTTTTCGTTTATTAAAATTTATAATTCTATTATTGTTATATCATTAGAATTTTTAATTGGCGCAAATTATTCGGGCTGATTAATGCGCCACCAACCTGGCACACATTCAAGAATTGCTTGTCTGCAAAGCGGTAATAACTGATTTATTTATGATTCTTATTATACTGGACATCATGCCATGGCATTAATACTTACGCCGTGAATGTAATTATGTTGCAATATGAAATTTGGTACGTGCGTCACTTAGGGATATTTTTACTATTTTATTGGCGGGACTTTTGTTGAATCTAGCCAAGAAGTATGTTTGCTCTTACTAAAAGATGGGTTCGCCTTGACGCGTTTCCGGTAGGATCCTTTTAAATTAAAAAATGGACTTCAGAACATAAATTTTTTTTTATTAACACCCAGATAGTAAATATAGTCAAAATTTTTTTCAAAATTTACCGTTGATGACACCATGCTTAGTTGGGGTGTTCAATAAACTAAGTAATCAAAACATGGTTAGGGTCATTTAAGTTCGGATTTTTTTAAAGGGGTCTTTCACATATAAATTTATATATGAATTTGTACTAATTTAGATCCATTTTTCTACACAACCAACAGACAAAATGTACCATTTTTTTTTTTTTAATTGTAGCTCTAGACTAGCTCTACACTGTAATAGAACCAGTTTTTAATAACCTATGTTAATTATTAATAAAAATTAATCCAAAATTTTATTAAAAAAATCGGTTCTATTACAGTGTAGAGCTAGTCTAGAACTATAGTTTAAAAATATATATATATACAATTTTTTTTGTTGGTTGTGTAGAAAAATGTATCTAAATTAGTACAAATTCATATGTAAAATAGCCCTTTAAAAAATCTGAAATTAATAATCATCATATATTAGTGTTGGATGATGATATCATGACTTATATGATTTGGTCATATTACAATATCATATGAAGTGTCATATATTAATAATATGACATGATCTATATCATATAGCATATGATTTATATGATTCTATATCATATGAAAATATCACATAACATTATGATATTGTCATTGTCCAACACTGTTATATATGACTCTAACTAAGTTTTGATCAATTAGTTTATTGAATACCCTAATGCTTAGTAAGTTCTCTAACCAATTATAACTAGTTTTTACTTTCTATATAAAGGTGATTAATACATTTTTAAAATTGTTAAATTTCTATTTTGATTTTTAAAATTTCTCACAAATTAATTTTTATTTAATATTTTTTACTGTCACCCAGGATTCTTTCATTCTTGGTGTTTTCTTGTATATGCTTCATTGCTAGCATTACAAAAGTAAAATTGCAGCATTTTGTTTACCAGGTAGTGTGTGACTTTATGATGTTTTAAATATTACAGGCTCTACCACCACCACCATAACCTCTTTCTTCTTTTTCTTTTCTATGCCAAAAAGTTATATTTATACACAAGTTTCAAGTTCAAAGCAGAAGGCAATAAGAGTTTCTTCTTACTAAGTATTCTCAACATAGCTTATCTCAGATATTAGAAGTGGTATTAACTTTAAAAGATCTAACTTGTGTGCATCATACTAGAACAAGCAAGTTACAAAATAGTTACAAAAGTTGTAGTTGTTTACAAAAACAAACTATATTGATTTGTATATGATCTTATCAAATATATTCTTAAACTTAATAGTGCAAAACTCATAGTTCTCTTACAAGATAGCTCTTTTAATGATGAAACTAAACTCTGTTAAAATATTTTTGCTATTAGCACTGTCTTTGTTTGTTGAATACAAAGAAGTAGCAAGGTTTGTTTAGAATTTATTTATTTTTTATTTATCTAATAATATTGATTAATACACTATATAGATATTGACATGAATAAAAAAAACAGTAACAAAAAATATTAGAAGCTATTGAAATCAACTCATTACTCAAAATATCAAAAAAAAACTGATCTGACTTAATCTTTAAAAATTAGAGTATACTCAAATTCTTTACAAAAAATATTGTTAAAGCAATAGATAAATTGTGCTAGATATTTTATTTTTAAATTTTTATATACTATTTGTTTATAGTATAGTTGTTGCAAACTTCAACTATAATTATTTATCAACTTATCAATTTTGGTTTTAATTTTTTTTTAATCTCAAAATTTCATATAATTATAAATAGAATTTTATAAAGAACTGCTTATGAAGTATTTGACTATGCTATTATCAAGGCTACTGTATCACTTTTACTATATTCAATTACTAAAGATACTGGACTAGACTATATTGAACTTATTAAATTACTATATCCAGTAGTCTAGTAGCATAGCACTAGAATATGTTCAGTGTAGTTTAGTAACAGCTTTGGCTATTACATATATAGTATTATTCAAATCTAAAACAAAGTTATTTGTCAAAATAATAAACTCAATAGCAATAAATATTATTTTCATTTTTTTTAAAAAAAGTATATTATATATATTAATATAGAAAATTTCTAAATCTATACCAGTATATAAAACACAGGTATTAATTAATTTATTTGCATCCCACGGACGACGAAAGTTTGAAAAATAGGCTTGCATTACGGTAACAGATCTTCATTAAGTTGGGGCTTAGATTA